CCCCCCCATTCCCCCCATCCCCCTACTTCCCCCCAAACCCTCCTCCAACCGCCAACGATCGATCCCGCCGAGCACAGGCGCCACACCTCACCCCACCCACCCCCACCCACGACGACGACGACGACGACGACGACGACCAGGCTTACACAACATGTCCCTCCACCGTGCAGCAGCAAGTGGTGACCTTCGAGCACTTCGTTCACTTTTACATGAACAACATGCAGACCCATCATCATCAGCTCATGCCCATGGACAGACGCCACTTCATCTGGGAGTCCAAGCAGGTCATCTGGCTATTGTCTCTCACTTGCTCAGTCATGGTGTGGATGTTAATGCAAGGGATGCTCATGGTGATACTCCGCTTCATTTTGCCGTCAAAATGCCTCGGACAGACATTGCCTCACTGCTCCTCTCCGCTGGCGCAAATGCCAATGCCACAAACTCTGCAAAGCTGACACCGCTTCATGTAGCTGTTGCTGCTTTCAATCATGATGCTGTCGCCATCCTTCTCAAGTATCACAAGTCCTCTCATCATCATCCTCTTCCTCATCCTCCTTCTCATCCTCATCCCTCGTCTCCCGCTGATCATCATCATCGTCATCGTCATCATCATCGTCATCATCATCTCTCGCACTCGTCGTCGTCGTCTTCACCATCGCCTCAAGTCACCTCAGGTCGGCATCATCATTCTCGTCAGTATTCTCGCCATCCACTGAAAGCTGGTGATGCTTCTCTGCGCTCTTCGCATTCGCAGTCGCCTTCGGCTGGTCGGAGGAGCTCTGTGGCGAGTACAGGCGTTCCGTCGCCGCGGCGGCGAAGGGCCATGACCGCAACCGATGACTGGCATCGGTCGGCTGGCTCGGGCTCGCTCGTCATTGACGCTCGCGATGCAGAGGGCTTCACCCCGCTGCACCTCGCCGCAGGCCGCGGAGAGCTCGGCCTTGTCTGCCAGCTCCTCGCCGGCGGTGCTTCGCCGTGTATGGCCAACTCGGCCGGCGTCACTCCTCTGCATCTAGCCATCACCTCGGGCGTCCGCGCCGTCGTCAAGGTCCTGCTCGAGGCCGGTGCTTCGGCATCCCGTCCAGGCGGCCCGCGCGACTGGCGGGCGCCCCACTACGCTGCCGCCTTTGGCTTCTCCGCCATCCTCGCCGACCTACTCAAGGCCGTCCCGCCGCCCGACCGAACGCCCAGGGCCGCGACAACGCTACCCCGTTGCAGCTTGCCGCAGCATCGGGCGACATGGGCTCAGTGCACGTGCTCCTCGCCGCAGGTGCGCGCCTTGACATGCCCGACGTTCTTGGCAACACCCCGCTCCACTACGCCGCCATGTACGGCCACCGCGAGGTCATCGTTGAGCTCGTCTCGGGCCTCTCCTACGAGCCGGCCCGCAAGGCTCTCATCAACGCTCTCAACTCGGCCTCCGAGTCAGCCCTCCATCTCGCCGCCGGCTTTGGCTACGTCCACTGCGTCGTCGCCCTCCTCGAGCACGGCGCCTCCATCCGCTCGGACAACGCCGTCTACGGGACGCCTGTCCACTACGCCGCCACCGGTGGCCACCTCTCGGTCCTCAAAGTCCTCCTCCACGCCCTTCCTGAGGCTGCAAACCTCACTGCGCCGTGGCAGCACAGCGCCAGCGCTCTCCATCTCGCCGCCCGCGCCAACGCCCGCCGCTCTGTCCTCGCCCTCATCGATGCCGGTGCCTCGGTCGAGCCGCTCACCGAGCACGCCCTCTCACCGCTCCACGACGCCGCCGCCGCCAACGCCACAGACGTCGTCTCGGCCCTGCTCGACGCAGGCGCTGCCGTCGACGCATGGGCGCCGTCGGGCTCGCCGCTCTTCTACGCCCTCCCGCGCAACGCTCTCGAGTCGCTTGATGCCCTCATCACTGGCGGCGCAGACGTGAACCACGTCGCAGACGCCGGCGCGCACACCCCGCTCCATGTCGCTGCCTACTATGGTGCCGAGCCCGCTGGCGCCGCCCTGCTCAAGGCCGGCGCCGCTGTCGAAAAAGCCACCGGCTACCACGGCCTCCGCGCCTTCCACATCGCCGTCCTCGTCAAGAACGTCGGCTTTATGCGCATGCTTGTCCGCGAGGGCGGCGCCGACGTCCACGCCCGCACTCGCGATGGCCACACCGCCCTCCACTTTGTCCTTCACTACCACGACGCCGACCTTGACATGCTCGAGGCCCTAGTCTCGGTCGGCTTTGAGCTCTCAGCCCAGTCGCCGTCCTCGCTCACCGTCCTCCACGAGGTGAGCTCCTTTGACGCTGCGCCCTCGCACTGGGTTCACAACCTCGTCGCCGCAGGCGCCCACCTCGAGGCCCGCGACATTGACGGCGCCACTCCGCTCCATCACGCCGTCGTCACAAACTCGCTCTCCATGGTCAAAGCTCTGCTCAAGGAAGGCGCCGCCGTCAACTCGCTCACCATGCTCCACCACACCCCGCTCCACCTCGCCGCCCACGCAGGCGCCGATGCCTGCATCGTCCTCCTCCATGAGATGGCGCCAAAGCACACTTGCGATGCGCACGGCCTGCTGCCGGCACATCACGCCGCCCGCGGCGGCTACACCAACGTCCTGCAAACGCTCCTCCTCCTCGGTGTCGACGTTCTCGCCGCAGGATCCGCCCTCCACGCCTCGGGCCGCACTACTCTTCACCACGCCGTTGCCGTTGGCCAGATCGAGACCGTCCGCTGGCTCCTCGACGCCGGTGCTGACCCGCACGAGCTTGACTCGCAGAACCAGTCCCCGCTTCATCTCGCTGCTCTCGCCGGCGACGTGGACTTGACCAAGCTCCTCGTTGCCGCGGGTGGCGACACCTACCAGCAGTCAATCAAGGGAACAACCCCGATCTCGCTCGCTCTCCAGGGTGGCCACTTTGACGTCCTCAAGATCCTCGACGAGTCATCGTGCCAGCTCGCCAACGAGCTAGTCGCTCTCCGCAACGTCCGCGGCAACAAGTCCATCAACAACCTCAAGGTTGCCGAGTCGACCGCCAACGTCTCGTCCATCTCAGAGCGCCGCCGCAAGCTCATGGGTAGCTCACGGAGAGTCCAGACCACGGCGCCAGCGCGTTCGCTGCCTCGAAACAAGCCGAAGTTGTTTGAAGACACCATCGAGACGGTGGTCGCTGTCGAGAGCGAGACCGATATTCATCCCAATCCGCCGCCGGTCCTTCCGGATCGCCTCCGCCGCTCAGGCCTTCACTCGCAGGCTGTCCTTCCACTGCCGTCGGACCGACTGCGCGAAACACGCTCGCCCGCGCCGCAGCCCATGCCCGCAGCAAGAGCAAGAGCGAGTCGGACACCGACTCTGACGATGCCGTCTCACCAGTCAATTCGCTTGCGTCAACGCTCTCGACTTTCGCTCTCGTCAGATGAAGAGTCGCCCGAGGTCACCGAGCTCAAGCGCCAGGTCACCGCCAAGGTCGCCGAGTCGATGAAGGCCGTCCTCGCACGACAACGGTCGCGCACCCGGTCGACCTCGATGTCGCTGGCCATGGTGCCCAAGTCGTTTTCGTCGACGGTCAAAAGGTACCAGCTGGCGAGCCAGGCCTCATCCTCGCTCGCTCGCCCGACGCCGGCGGCGCGCCTCCAACCGACCAGTCCGCTGGCGCTTGCCGCCTCGCCCGACAGCGAGACTCCTGCCGCCGCCGATAGCGCCAAGGTTGTCTCGCCCGAGAACGGGCGGAAGCGGGCGCTCTCCATCCAGGCCACGAGCCTGCTGTCCACACTCGGACGGGCTCGGGTCGAGGCCTTTCGCCACCGCGACAGCGACTTGTTCCGCTCTGAGTCACGGTCGTCGACAGGCTCGGTGATGGAGCACATTGCCGACGCCGACGCCGCCGCGCAGTCGCTGCTGGCGGGCCTCCGCGATGAGCTCGGCGACCCGGTTCTCATCGAGGACCTCATTGAGCCGGCGTATCCACTCAACCGCGAGGGCATGGCCCTGCTCGACGCCATTGTCTTTACCCCGCGCAACGCTACCCCGTTCGAGTACGCACAAGAGATGTTGCGCAACGACCTGGTCCTCGGCGTCCCGCTCGACGCTCCGATCTTGCACTCGGTCTCGACAGCAGCTGTCAACACGTCGGCGGCGCGGCGCGTGCGCGAGCGGCGACTCATCCTCGACCTGCACCAGCAGCGCCAGCGCGACGAGCCCGAGATCGTACCCGACACTGCTCACGCTCGGGTCCGGGCTGCCTACGACGATACGGCCCACGTCGTGGCTCCCAAGTCGCACGAGCTCGAGAGCCACGTCGAGTCGACCAGCCACTTTCACCACGTCTACCACACCATGTCGTCCAAGGCAGCCGCTGACCCGGATGCCACACCCGAGCGGCTTGAGCGGCGCAAGCGACTCAAATCACAGCGCAAAGCTCAGCGCAAGAAGCGTATCGCGCAGGAGAAGCAGGCCGAGCTCGAGATTCTGCTCGACAAGTCGGCCGAGGGTGCGAGCTTGTCGGTTGAGCTCACGTCGGCCTGGGAGGGGAGTGCGCCGCGGAGCGGCGTCCGGCCGTCTGGACCCAAGCGCCGCCACAACGTGGCACGCGGCCGCAGCCGTGGCCGCGGCCGCGGTCGCCGTCGGCACGCCCGCCGCCACACCGTCTCAAAGGCCGCAATGGTGACTCGCCGGCTCACCTCGATGGGTACCCGGGCGCAGGACTCCAAAGTTGTGACCACCCGCGCCGACGTCCGTGCGCGGCTGCGGCCGGTGGCGCCCTCAGCGCTGGACACGCCCGAGCGCGCCGAGCAGCGGCGGATTGTGGCGCGGAAAATGATGGCCTCAGGCCACAAGCCGGCATGGGTCGGCGTCGGCTCGTCTGTGGAGCACTTGTAGTCTGAAGAAGAAACAAAACGACGATGCCGTGGTCTTCATTGGTCAGCAAAGATAGCGCGAGCGGTGACGAGGCGCATGATCTCGGACGAGCCCTCGAGGATCGAGTGGACGCGGGCGTCGCGAAGGTAGCGCTCGATCTGGTAGTCGGCGACGTAGCCGGCGCCGCCGAGGGTCTGCAGCGCCGAGTTGATGACGTCGAAGCACTGCTCGGTGGCGGTAAGCTTGGCGAGGGCGGCCGACGAGGTGGCAAGCGGCGAGCGCTCGTGGAGGAGCTTGGCGGCGTCGCGGATGGCGAGGCGCGAGGTCCGGAGCTTGGCGGCCATGTCGGCAAAGACAAACTCGGTGTTTTGGAAGCGGGCGAGCGGCTTGCCAAAGGCGGTGCGCTCGAGGACATACTCACGGGCGATGCCAACCGAGGCGGCGGCGGCGCCGATGGAGCAGGCACCAATGTTGATGCGCCCGCCGTCGAGACCCTTCATGGCGATTTTGAAGCCCTCGCCGGGCGCGCCGAGCATGCGCGACTTGTGGACCTTGACGTCCTGCATAATGACTGGGCGAGTCGGCGACGCGTTCCAGCCCATCTTGTCGAGCTTGCCGCCAAACGAGAGACCATCCGACTCGGCGTCGACGAGGAAGCACGAGACGCCCTTGGCGCCCGACTCGGAGCCGGTGCGGGCCATGATGAGGTAGACATCGGTCTCGCCGGCGCCCGAGATGAACGCCTTCTCGCCATTGAGCACGTAAACGTCTTCGTCGGTCGACGAGACCACGGCGGTGGTCCGCAGCGCAGCGGCGTCCGAGCCCGAGCCGGGCTCGGTGAGGCAGTACGAGCCGAGGGCCTCCATGGTGGCCATGCGCGGGACAAACTCGGCGCGGAGCTCGTCCGAGCCAAACGAGTCGACCATCCACGTGCACATGTTGTGAATGGAGAGGTAGGCCGACGTGGCCGGGCAGCCCATGGAGAGGGCCTCAAAGACCAGAGCAGCGTCAAGACGCGACGCGCCCGAGCCACCGTGCTCCTCCGAGGTGTACATGGCACCAAAGCCGAGGTTGCCGAGCTCATGGACGACGTCCTTGGGGAAGATGGACTCGGCATCCCACTTGCTTGCATGCGGAGCAATGTTCTCGGCAGCAAAGGCAGCCGCCGTCTCGTAGAACATCAACTGCTCGTCATCCAGACCCACCGTGGCCGAGAACGGCGAGGTAGGCGAGAGAGCCGTCGTCGCCCATCCGGTAGCAAATCGCTTCTGACCGGTCATGCCACCAAACGACGCGTTGCCGTTGGCTGACGACCGCATGTGAACGGCAAATGGCACATTTCCGCCATTGGCATAGTTGCCCGAACCGAGAAGGCTGCCACCAGCCACCAGCCGGTTGCCACCCATGGCTGACGTGGCTGAGGCCGCCGCCGTCGCCTTTGCCGTCGTCGTCGTCGTCGCCGACGTCTTGCTTGCTGAGCTGACTCGAGCAGTCACAGCCGGAGCCACCGCCATGGTTGCCGTCGTCGTCGCCCGGACTGCTGCACTTGCTGCGCGGAACATAGTTGTGAGAGAAGGGGAGGGAATGCGGGTTGGAGAGGGGGAGAGGGGTGGGGAGGGGAGGGGGAGGGGAAGGGGGGGGGGGGGGGGGGGGTCAGGCGGCAGGGGACGGCCATGATCGCGATCGCGATCACGATTCCGTGCGAGTTTTTGGGGGCTAGCCATCGATGAACTGACGGGGCCATTGATCGTAGCAGGGGGGGGCTAGCCATCGATGAACTGACGGGGCCATTGATCGTAGCAGGGGGGGGCTAGCCATCGATGAACTGACGTGACCAATGATCGTAGCAGGGGGGGCTAGCCATCGATGAACTGACGGGGCCATTGATCGTAGCAGGGGGGGGCTAGCCATCGATGAACTGACGGTGCCATTGATCGTAGCAGGGGGGGGCTAGCCATCGATGAACTGACGTGACCAATGATCGTAGCAGGGGGGGGGCTAGCCAACCACGGATTGAAGGGCTTGTCATTCCCAGCAAACGCCCCGTCGCGGGGTGGGGATCGGGTGGGGACAAATTACCGCGGGGAAGAGCTGTTTACTCGGCCTTGCCACCATCATCATTGCCATCTTTGGAGCTCGAGCGGCTGTCAGGCAGGACAAGATGTCCAGGCGCTGTGGTCGACACATCAGTGATCGACGTCGTGTCGGCTGAGATAGCACACACATCGGACACGTCGCCGCGGACAATGCCGTGCCCATTTGCTGTTGCCTCGCCAATAGACGCAGCACGTCGAGCGCCGGGCACCGTCGACGCTTCCGCCACTCGCTTTCCTGCCTCGCCTGATCCCGATCCAGACCCCGAGCCAGACCCAATATCGAGCCCCGAGTCCTGCTCTGGACTTGAGCCCGACGACGACGACGACGACAATGACGAGGTCGAGGACGACACATCCAGCTTGCTCCCCACCGACGATGATGACGACGACAACGCGTCCGCCGACGAAGCGGGCGATGACACCGCCGACGTCACCTCCGAGTCACAAATGATCGAATGCGAGAGCGAGCACGCCCCAATCGACACATCCATCCTGTTCTTGATCGGAAAGACCTCGGGAGCGTCGCCAAAGCGGACTGATGAGAGCGGCGCGCTGTTATGCCTCGACTCCTCAAGAATGCTCGAAGCCTTGGGCCCGGCGTCGGTAAACGAGATGACCACGGTCTGGGCCTCAAAAAGTAAACCGATCCATACAGCCGCTCGCCTGATCGCCGCAGCGTCAATCGCATGTCACTCCTCGAGCCCGGCACGTGCGGCTTACCCCACAGGTCGCCGTTGGTGATGCCAACAAAGGCCGCAAGCGGCTGTCGTGCTAGCTCCTCGTACCGCATCTGCGCAAAAACGAGCGCCGCAGAGTTAGCCGCCACAAGCGCCGGTCCGGGCTGGAGAACAACGACGCCGACCGCAGAGTTGGCGAGGTCCGCAACCGCCATCAGCCCGTGGCTCACGCCTGCGAGCGAGTCGAGGCCCTGCTGAGTCAAGCCGAGGACAACAATGCCCTGCGCGCGCACCATCGCCACAGTCACAGCTCGCGACTCGCCCGTCCCGACAATTAGTGTCTGGTGCCGCATCATGCCAAGCCGTCCTCCAAAGTTCACCTCGTAGCTCGGAAGCACGGTGCGGATGTTCTTGAACGTCACGCTCGCCGGGTTGAGGAACATGTGGTTCTGAGACTGGCACTCAAGCACTGTTCCATCCTTGTTGCACACCAGCACCGCGTCTGTCGCAGGCAGCATCGCGTTGAGCCGCAGCGAGAGCCGCAGCATCACCCGCGGATCCGCACCCTTGAGCGCCACCTGTTCGTCCATCAGCATTCCAGCCACAGCCTCGGCCTCGGGCTGGAAAAAGAGTGTCAGGCGATACCGCTGCGAGCTCCCGGCATTCCTCGCCATCGCGCTCAGTTCTCCGGTCCGGGTCAGCGTCGCGCTCCGTCCCACAAAAACACGTGCTTTGCATCTTCGAGCTGCGTGTACGTGCTCTGCTCTGCGCCTGAATTCGGCAACGGCGCAACACGCCCGCGCCCGCAAATCCGCGCAAACCACGACGAGATCGAACGCGCCCCATCCACGATCGTCTGCCGCCGCCCGCGACGCCGGCGAGCATCTTCAAACATAGACTTGATCCACTTTGAGCCATCGTTCGATGCTGGGTTGAAGTGAGTTACCCACGCAAAACACTTGAACGTCACTTGCGAGCCCGTCGTCGCTGGGTCCATGTACGGCAAGACAGTGATTCGCCGCGGCGGAAACCGCATCAGCTTCATGAGTTTTGCCTCCAGCTTGCGCGGCGCCACACGCGGAAGAAAGTTGCACATGTGCTGTCGCAGTAGCGACCGCGGCGGCAGGCCGAGGAACGTCACGTCACCGTCCATGCCCACAATCTTGCCCGAGTTCGAGTCGACCTCAAGCACAGCCCGTCGCTCCAGTCCCGGTGGTTTGGCATTCCTCTCGAGCTCCTCTAGCGACACCAGCGTGTTGTGCTCGATAAAGTGCGAGATCTGGGGAAGCAAAACAATGTAGTCGGGGCGGATCATGAAAATCATCGACCGCGCACGGGTCGTCTGGTCGGCAATCTGCCGGATGAGTCGAACAAAGACCACAAAGTAGATGGCTACTAGCGCAAGATTCTCCAACACGTACACCGCCAGCGTCGCCGCGAGGAACCGAGAGATCACAGACTCAAACTCGTAGACCATGACTGCCGTCGCCTCGTCGAGCAGCGGCGACAGCACATTGGCTTCCTCCGCCTTGACCTGTGGCAGTGCCGCAATCAGCGTAGCGCCCGCTGCAAGCACACTCTCCCTGCTCCCGGTGCTGATCTCCAACGCCGCACCCGCAAGCTGCCGCCCGAGCGCCACATAGCTGATCACGGCCTGATCCAGCCCGCTGGCGCCGTACATGACCTCTTCCAGCCGCGGAAACAACCCATCCGTCCCGCTCCGGCCGTCGGTCCCATACTTTGCCTCCATGTGCGCGCTCCACAACGCTCCCACAGAGTTGTTGAGCAAGGCAGAAGCGACTGGAGGTGGCAAAACCCAAAACGGAACTGCGGTCTCGTTGCTCGATCCGTTCGCCATCGCGTCTGCGTACGCCGCGAGATGCACCACTGCTGTGTGCACTCCTTTGGCGTAGAATCGGCGGATGCCCGACGCGTTGATGAGGCTGCCATAGTGGGTTGTGACAGTGGCGCCGAAGTAGACTGTAGTGAAGAAGACACAGGCAAGGACAAAAACAACGCCCAGGGCGCAGAGAATCTGCAGCTGAACTCGCCGCACAATCGAGACCTTCTCCGACTTGGAGAGCAGCTCAGTCATCGCCGCCGTCGACTCGAGCGAGAGCGTCATCCGGATTTGCGACATCTCAGAGTCCATGTCCGAGTCCGAGTCCTCGACACCGTACACATCAGAACGAGGTCGTTGCGCCCCTGATCCACTCTCGATGCTCGGAACAAGCAGGTCGTCGCTGCGTGAACAATAAGCGTTCTGAGTCGAATTGTCAGAGGTCGAGCCCACCGAGCCCGACCTACTCTGCCCGAATCCCGCGTCGACAAGAAATCCGAGCCCGTGCTCGGCTGACATAAATGACAGCAGCGCGTTGGCCATCTCGCTCTGAATGGTGCGAAGCATCGGTTGCGGCACTGTCTTAAACAGCCGAAACGAGTCGCACTGCTCATTGCGGAGCGAAGCAATGGCTGGCAGAACAAGTGCAACGCCGATAAAGACCAGAATGCTTGTCGACGTGACCAGAAGCACAATCTGGAGAATGACCAGAACATGAATCGACTCGGAGACCTTTGTCTCAAACAGCTGCGCTCCCGCACCAATTTTGGAAGAGAGCGGGGCGCGTGGGTGCAGATTGTGGCGCACAAAGCTGGCAGCGAGATCAATCTGCAGCTTGTCCATCACCCACTCACCCACCGGCCGTGCCACCAGCTCGCGCGCATAGCCAACCAAGTGCGCAATGGCGTCACGGAGGTTGACCATGCGGATTTCGATCGCCGGCGGAGTGGTGACCGTTGACGCGACAACAGAGACTGGGATCACTTGGTCGCGCCAGAGCGCGTTGAGCTTGTTTGTCGCGTGTGCGCCCGAGCCGTACGTGGCGCGGTAGAGGTACGCCGCGTGGTCGGCAACAATCGACGCCGTTGCATCGACGGTAGAGCGCACCTCGCTCGCGACGTACAACACGCTTGCGCCCGGCGAGAGTGCAGACCAGTGCAGGATCGAGACCTGTAGGTAGGTGTCGATCGAGAGCTTCCGCATGCGACCGTACATGTCCATCAGCTTGAACTCGGCCTTGATGGCCGACATGGACGAATTGGAGAGACCAAAGCCGACGGCGAAGAACACCAGTAGCAGAAGGACTGAGATCTTGAGTGACCACGATAACCGCCCTGCCGCTTGTGACTTGGCTGAAAGCACCCTCTCGCGCGCCGCAGCGTGATGCTCAAAGGACGTTCGTGAGAAAGCCGAGGAAATCGAGCCCCGGTGTCGCGACGCGCCACGGCTGAAGAACCGGTGGCCACGCGAGGACCTGCTGTGGGAGGGGGTGGGGGTAAACTCTGATCCGCTTGCCGTGTTGTCCTCCCTCGGCCTGTTTGCCACAGTCTCCATCGGTGTTCCAAACATCGCCCGCTGCGGAAGCAAGATGCTCATGTCGTCGCTACTGCTGGTGGCGCGAGCTTGAGCCTTGGATCGCTTGAACTTTCTCTGTGGTGGACCACACGAGGTCGACGAGGAGAGCGCCGAAAAGCCCGAAGATGATCCATACTTTGACCTATGCTTGAGGCTCGACTTTTTCGGCTTCTTGAACGCGTTTGGCAGCGTCGACATTTCGCGATGCTCAGAAGAGGCATGCGCACTCCGGCTTGTAGACAGGTTCTGAGACGACGAGGAGGCCGAGGATGGCAAAGATGATGTCGACGACGATGAAGATGCCGACGCGTTGGCGCTCAACTTGCGAGATGCGGGTATCGAAGCAGCGAGCGCTTTCCTTGAAAACTTCCTCTTCTTGCCCTTCTTCGCGCCCGACTTGGTCAGAGCCACCTTCTTGGCGGAGGCAAGCGCAGATCGTCCGCTTGAGACGGAGCGTGCCCGCCTTCTCTTGCCATTAGACTTCTTCCTGTGCATCTTGCGCTTGGTGGCACTCTTGTTGATCCTGTGGTCTGCGCCCCTCAAGCGAATCTTACCCGCTCTCGCCCGCAACAACGCCGGGCCACGCAACGACGACGTTTGCGCCGTTCTGCCGCCAGAGTGGGCGTGCATCGGTGAAGGATGCCTCTCCATGGAGGTCGATGCAGGGCTGCGGCTCATACCCATGAGATGAAGTGCTGGGTGGGCACCAGAAGGCGGCATGTCCGGGACTGACGGAATCTCGAACGAGGTATTGACGAGCGATGCGGCGCGAGCTCGGATGGCCTCGACCTGGGGACTGTCGCGTTGGACGGTCTCAATAAAGGACGCGTACGAGTAGAGCAGCTCAACCGCGAGCGGAAAGCGGGCAATGAGGCGCTTGTATGCAATCGAGGCCTGGCGCTCGGCGCGCGTGACGGCTTGGGATGCGGCCGCAAAGGAGGCGCTGGAGCACCGGCCGGAGTGCAGCAGTGACCAAAAGGTGTGGGTGGCAACAAGGGTGTCGCGATGGTACTGGCGAGCAACTTGAAAGTGCTTCTGGTACTCGACATATGAGACAAGATCCATACGGGTGTCGGTCTCGCCAAAGCCCCGGCCCTGCATGGTATGCAGCAGCTTGCGCTCAAAGCCGTGGACAATGAGGCGGATGTCAAAAGCAGCTGGCATGAGCTGCGCCGCCTGAATGGCAACCATGGCCGTGCCAACCTCGGCAGGAGCAAACTCATTGATGTAGTGTGCATACGCGCTACGGACAAACGCAGATCGCGGGTAGAGCTCGATGCCCAGCTCAAACAGAGTCCTGGCTGTTTGGTCAAACGCCGCCTGGCGCGTATCCAGCATGCCAAAGATGTCGTTGTCATCGATGACGGGAATGGCCGCCAGGCGGGCACTAACATGAGCGCGGACCAGCAGCTCGACCTCGCGCTCCGACCGCATGAGGATCAAGCGAAGCCTGTCATGGGGGCGGAAGTTTGCATCGCTGTCACCGGCGCGAAGAATCGAAAGCTCAGCAGTGGCACCATGCGCGCCCATCTCGCCTAGCACCGGGTCGATGCCGGCAACATAGGCTTGCATGTCGGTGCCGCTGCCGGCAGTTTGCGATAGATTGGCTTCCCGTCCAGCAGCATTGCGAGAAGCCAGCAGGGTGTCAAGCAAGTCTTGTGCCGAGCTCGCGAAACGGGTGATCTTGCGTTCGACGACAAGGTACCGCCATCGCATGGCGGCGAGACCGCAGGCGCCGCCAACCACGGCTCCGCTGACACCAAGGAAGAATGGCCACTCTAACGCCGGGTCCGAGGCCAGCACAGCTGCTGCCGAGCCTATCGAGCCGCCAAACAGCAAGGTGAACAAGGCAGCGTAGATGTAGTTGAGCAACCGCGAGTAGTACGGGATGCGGGTGATATGAAAGTAGGCGAGCGAGCCAAAGCCCAGGAGGAGGACAAAGACACGAGCGAGAGGGATGGCATTGCGCGGCGCAAGTCGAAAGACGGCAATGACGGCGGTCTTGACGGCGACAAACAAGGCATACTGTCGGCCAAGCGGGCGGGCGGCCAGATCATCAGAGAATGGCCGCGGATCGTAGTACGTCAGCGCCATGAGGAAGGAGAATGGGAGAAAGAAGCAGATCAAAAGCGCGAGGGAAAGGACAGCGATAGCTACTCTCCATCCAGACCAGCACCGAGTCGACGTCGCCATGGCCCACACCATGCGATGTGGCGAGTCGTCTACCGCAACCTCGCAGGCAGCCGGGAGGAGGAGAAACTGGAGAATGGTGATGTAGAACAAGGAGATCATGGGTGGGACGATGGTGTTGAAGATCTTGGGCGCCCAGGTCCGAGCAAACGATGTTGCGCCATGATGAGTCGATGATGAGTAGAGGTAGCCGACGTTGGCCGAGAAAGCGAGGAGAGCGAGGAGAACGAGGAGAAGAACCACAAAGAACGATTGCTCCGAGAGAGAAGCTTGAAGTAGCGATGTTGCCGAAGTCTCAGCAGGCGATCTTGACAGAGCCGAAGAGTACAACTGGACGAGGCTGTACTTGAAGGCAAACGATGGATGAAAGACAAACGGCACCAGCTGCAAGCCATCGAGAACGAGGAAGAGGATGGTCGACAGCGATGAGCCGCTTCGCCGCGTCTGAATCAGACCATACAGGACCGAATGAACGCTTGCTTCCACACGCGAAGCACGACTACCTTCCATGGCTTGGTGGTCTGCCTTGCGGCCGTGTGCCACTCCCCCGAATACGTTCTCAAGTCGAGTATGCCTGTCCCCCCCCTCCTGGTCAAGCCTGCTTGACCATGCCAGTGCGGGGAAAATGCGGGAGAAGGGCAGCAACGCTAATTAATCAACAGCCAATTCGTTCGCTGCCACAGTATGGTCTTCTCCCTGTCAATGATCTGCTCGCCGTAGGCAAGGAGAACTTGCCGGAAGAAGGGAGGCACCTTTTCGGAGATAGGGAAAGAAGAATGGGTGGATGGGGGAAGAGATGGGAGGAGGGTACGCCTATTGGAATCTGGATTTGCTAGGCATTGGTGAGAATATATGTGCCTTTCTTTTGGCCAACGACTGTTTGCCGGCGAGGCAGAGCGATGGGTTGGTGGCGGGGCGGGTGGGCGATGGGTTGGTGGCGGGGCGGGTGGGCGATGGGTTGGTGGCGGGGCGGGTGGGCGATGAGTTGGTGGCGGGGCGGGTGGGCGATGGGTTGGTGGCGGGGCGAGTGGGCGATGGGTTCGTAGCGGGGCGGGTGGGCGATGGGTTGGTGGCGGGGCGAGTGGGCGATGGGTTCGTAGCGGGGCGGGTGGGCGATGGGTTGGTGGCGGGGCGGGTGGGCGATGGGTTGGTGGCGGGGCGGGTGGGCGATGGGTTGGTTATTATTGAGTCATTTTTTATTCACTTTTTCTTCATTTATTTTTCTACAACTACTTTCGGATCTTTATCGTCATGTAAATAATATACTTAAAACACACATATAATTCTTATTTTCTAGTATTTACTAAAAATGTTCCACTTTTGTTAACTCTTTATTATTTTTTTT